GGAGAATAAGGGCTACACTAAAAGATGCAAACCTCTCATTAGCACAAAAACCGAAAGGCAGATTAAGATTTGCAATAAAATACAAGAATGAGCCACAACAGTTCTGGAACAAAATGTTAAGGATATACAAGATGAAAACAAACTTTATTAAAGTGACAGAACAGCATTAAGTGTGGAGAAAGAGAGGAGCTACAACAGATCCTCTCCATCTCATGCTCACCACCTCATCTGTAAAGCATGGTGGAGGTAGTCTCATGGCATGTGAGTGCTTGGCTGCCTCTGGAACTGGCTCACCTGACTTTATCGACAATATAACTGATGATGCCTGCAGCAGAACGAATTCTGAGGTGTACAGAAACATCTTGTCTACCCATGGCCAAATAAAATGCATCCAAATTCAACAGGCAGTATTTCAACCCTGCAGCAAGACAATGACCCAAAACAAACTGCACACTTAATCAATGGGTTCATCAGGAAAAAGAAGTGGAAACTTTTGAAATAGCCAAGTCACTCCCCTGATACGAATCCTACTAAGCATTAATTTTATTTTTGAAGAGGAAAGTCAGAAAACCCCACAAAACTGAAGCCAAAGTATCTGAAAGCAAAAAATCAAGAGCCTGGTGATGTCAACGGATCAAAGACTTGAAGCAGCAATTGCATATTAGGGGCATGTAGCCAAATACTAATTAGTCCTAATACTAATGCTGACTAATACTTATATAGGTCATTAAACACAAAAACATTTTTTTTCTGACATATTTCCACCAAAACATCTGAAATTCTGCACTTTTGCCTTATAAATATCTAATTATCTGAAATACAAATTAGTACTACAGTCTTACATTAGTATTACAAATAGTACATAGTTCAAAGCAAAAATGAAAACTTGTACTTCACCGTTCCAATATTTTCACTTTTTACCTTACACATACTGGATAAACTATTCTGTTTTCTCTTCCAAGCCATATTACTTTGAAATATGTCTTCTCTTGGAGATTTAAAAGACCTACATTACTAGTTTTGTTCTTTTTCCAAAACAATTTGTACTACGTCTTAACAAATGCACAGGATGAACAGTTATATGTATTACACCATTTTTATGTCTGAGCATTAGCTACTAAGGTGTTCTGCCAACTGTATAAAAAGCAAGCAGAAAAGCGCTGTTTGTAATTAAAGCAAACTCAAGGCCTAAGCTCACCTTGAAGTGTATGCAAAAATATGTTCCCTGGCAAACTGAAAATTGTCAACTTACATAGCTGTGAACTATAACAATAATGAATCCTGGAATAAACTAAAACACAACATAAAATAAATGATTGTAGTGTTTCAGGATACAAAACCATGCAAGACTAACTTGGAGAAAAAATGCTTTGTTTTATAACATACATTATGTGCACCCCCTTTATCACTCCACTTTACCACTCTATAACCTTTGCCTAGGCTAGCTGTTAAATAGCTTTAGCTAACAGAAATGTTCCATTTTGTTTTCTGCTTTTCCATGTATCTGTATATTACCCACAGTTAATAGTCCACATCATTAAGCCTGTAACACATTCTAAGAAGCAGTAACCTATAAATTGGTCTCCCTCTGTCATTTCATTTGATTCATTTACAACACACCAGAAAGAAAAAGCCCACGAAGGACGAAGCAAAGCAAATGCTTGATCCATTTCCTTATACCCTTATGTCAGGCTGCGACATTATTTTGGGTCAAAGTCTTCAAATTGTTCTAAATCATTTTATGATTTAACTACAAATAATGTTGTCATTAAATTGGGTAGCTCTACAGCAAAATCATGAGAAATTTTTAAAAAGTTCCATTAACTCTGCAGACTGTGAGGAAAGTATTTGTAAGTCCATACAACATATACTGTACTTTTCTATATAATTTATTTTACAGTATATGCCATCTATTCTATTACTAGAATACAACAGGAATAATTCTCCTTTGTCACTGCTTGCAACATCAATTGTCCCACTGATAACTGTTCTGGTAAGAGCTGAAACACATTCTGATTAGATTGGTACAAACTGTAATAGAGAGCCCTAATCAAGTTTGAAAAAAATGTTTAAAAGCCAAACATATTCAGTTAGTTTGCAAGAAGATCAAGTAACTACTGTAAGATGTATTTGTCCAAATTATTTTATTGATTCCTAGAGATTCTGCCTTGCTGGATGATTAGAAACAGGTTTTGTCAATATGTTTTTGGTCAGCCTCTCAACAGCTTAATGTTGGAAAGTGTTGTGATGGAAGACTTGCATACTGTCTTTTGGAGACCTGACTGACGTTCAACTGCTTTCAGATTCCACACCTACGCCCACTTGAATTTTAAAAGCCAAGGATGATTAATGGCTTCATTGAAACAGGTCTGCTATTGCACCACATGCTTGATACACAATTCTTCCTTCATTATAACGTCTTTAGTTGCATACCAGCAAATGATTTGGCTGAGAGATTTTGGGAGGGTGGTTATCTATAATGTTAACTCTTTGTAATCTTTGTTCTATAATCCTATTTTTGCCTTGTAATACAACTAATTAAATTACCACAAAAAACTACTGAACCCATGCTTTAGCAAGGACCATTGATAATCAGTGAACATCACAAGGTCTTATTCATATCTACTTTTGATCCTAAGGCAACAAATCAGTTTTTACATCTCTCTGTCCAGTGACGCAAGGCAGAGCTATGGTAAGACTGACTTGCTGACACACAGACCTGTTCAACAGATCACCTCCATCAAATAAATCAAGCACAACTAAAGCAGAACTAGCAAGAACTTGACTTTTAATACCAGTGAAAGACAGAGTACAGTACAAATATATCTGTTTTAATAAAACAAGAAAGCAAAAACCAAGCAGCACTTTTAGAGAAAGTGACCAACAATGACAGATCAGAGCAAAGCATAAAGGTCAAAAACCATTTTCTTGATAATTCAGATGAATATTTCAGCGTTCTCAGCAGCTACATTCAGTCCAATCTAATTATCTTCCCAGTCCCACTCTCCTTCAATTTACTTCAGATGCAAAAATGACAAATTTTATCATCTCTCAGAGACATTTACATTTCATTACAACATTAGCTAACATAGAATTTAGTACTTACTGTAGAGGCAGACAGACATATTTACAAAAGTAGTAACTACTGAAAAACCATGTGGCCATCTTTGCTGAATATGTCATGAATGTCTGTCAATTAATTTCCAATAGTATTTCAAGTACAACTGGAAAATGACATTTAAAGTAGCCAAGTGCAAAAAACTAACAATATCTACAAAAATAGGAACCACAGTTTATGTTGACACATCATTTACATCCTCTAGACAATGTAGGGAAGCAATTAAAAAGGTTAACCAGATCTAGAGATATACAGTAAGAAGGTTTAAAATTTAAATCAAGGGATGTTGTTAAAATTGTATTGTGCACTCAAAAGCCTCATTTTAAATAATGCATTTCATTTTGGTCACCAGACTCTAGAAAATATATTGCTGCTCTTTTATCAGTCCAGAGAAGAGCAACCAAATACATTCTGATTCATAAGAAAATGTCCTACAATAGCAGGATGAAGGGATTGAACCATTTTAGAACCATTTTGTGAGGGGACATAATACAAATATTCAAAACCCATTAGGACACTGACACAGTCAAATGAGCAGATGTCTTCAGAATAATCACTGATACACAAAGCAGTCAACACAAGTGGAAACAATGTGAAAGTACATTTAGAACTCAGGTCAGGAAGCACGTCTTTACCCAAAATGTTGTGGGAACAGAAAGCAAGCTACCCATCCATGTTGTTGAAGCCAATATCCTGGCTTCTTCCAAAAACATGCCTTGGATTAAGTAGCTAACCACCAAACAGGCTAGACGAGGTGAATGACTTCCTCTTATTTGTTACTGTTCTTATGTTCTAAAACAGAGACAAACTCGGAGAACCAAATTTTGCTCTAAGCTCAAAATATTAAACCCAGTTACCAAACGTAAGGAAAAACTCCACTACAAAAACAGTGTAAACAAAACCTTAGTCTGTAGGTAGTTATAATGCCAAGAGAGTAAAACAACTCGTTATACAGAGAAATTACCTCTTTTTACAGCCACACTAGTAACTGTTACATAGTGATTCCAGCAAAAGCTTTAGTACAGCTAAATTCTTGACAGTGCCGAGTTGTTTCTAGAGTCGATTTTGCTCCACATGAGTCATTTAAAGAAGTAAAATATTAAAACCTGAAAACTCCCAATGGAAAATTAGAGCAAATATGGTTCTATCACTTTTCAATTCAACGACATAATAAAGGTGAATTTAGGAGGTCGGGCTTGTGTGTACAAAATCCAAAAGCAAGACGTTCATTTTTTATTTAAAATATCTTCAGCAAAACGCCTCTGAATGACCATTACAAGTAAACTAAAAACTGCGAAGTTCAATTTTTTTTCCTCTTTCCCTACAGTTTTAGGCCGACAGCACATCGGTGATGCCATTTACTTCCGGTAGAAACAGCAGAAGAGTATCATAATAAAATGGCCTTTAAACATCTCCGCAAACCTCGCAATATAAAACACGTTCTCCGCCCCTCCTCAAAGCACAGTTAACTTAAAGATAAAAGGGTACCCACTCACACTTGTATTACTGACGGAACAACTAGGACACTAAGGCAGGAGGCCTTGTTGCAAGTTGTTCTGAAAACGAAACATACGGTACGGTTATCTGCACTTTTTCCATAGGGTTTTTAGCATGCAGTACAAGCAACGGTAAAATAAAAACTTAGCGCGAGTTAAAACTGCAGTATCACCGTACTATACCATCAAAATTCCCATTATTAGAAAATACTGTAGTTTTAACTAGCAAAAGAAACCAACAACATTAGCTGGTACTGTACATGGTGTCTTTAGTGTTGGTGTTGCTGGTAAATCGCCGAGATCCTGGAAAAGTTACAAAATAAAACCAGTGCTAACATGACACAAACAGCTCAATAATAATGAGATAAAACAGTTTTAGTACTTACTCAGTCGTTGTTTTTCGTTTCCAATCTGAAACAATTTTCCTTTTTTCTTTTCACTCCAGTACGACTGACGTGTTTATGATTTATGTTTATTTTAACTGAATGTATCTGAATACACGTCCTTGATATATCGCGCCACGACTTAATGTAAAATGAACGAAACCTTGTTCACTCTGCGACCAAAACAGAAACCATCGCGCTTCCTCCTCTTCCAGATTGACTTTTATTTATTTGGACACAACGCTCCTCCTCCGAAGTAGAACCCAAAAATAAAACCAAGTGGAAACACCAGCGCTTCTGACTCCATCCAACAGCGGCCACCGCGAAGTTTCCCGGAACCCGCAGACAGCGCGCAGGGCTCCCCGAGTCTCCAGCAGCGCTCGGGGAGTGAAGCAGCCCGGGGCGCTCGCCTATTCTCCACCGCAGACTTGCCTCGGTGGTCAAATACACGAACAACGAAAGTGGAAAATACTTTTTTGTACACTTATGTGTGTTTATTTGTTATGAAGAACTGTCTCCTACAGCTTAGCACACAAACCGTACGCGCTGTTGAGCCATTAATACTAAGCAACAACCGTAGTATCTGAAGGATGACGGACAAGCGCTTCTGTAGGTGGAGTCTATCTGTTGTCACAATACTGCTAGCCCGTGTAGACCTAAGGGGCAATGCAGCCTGGAAAAGAACGTAATAACTTCGTTATTTATTTTTATTATAGTAACAGGGGGCTTTTTGGTTATCGTGACACAATTTTATAAATATAATCGAAATGATCTTTATACAATATTGTAGATTTAGATTTCTAAATAACGCTCCTGTAAATTATACAATTTTAAACCACACGTCAACATTCAGTGTGATTCGATCAATTTATTACGTACAGCTGAAGAGTTAAGTTTTGCTTCGTTTCTGTGGACACCCTGGGTAGTTTCTTAGGAGTAAGGACACCCATTGGTGTCTGAGCCTGTTGTAATATCAAATTAACCTCGCCTGGGTCCAGAACACTTGTTAGCCAGTAGACGTTGTGCAACTGGATCTTGTAAAAAAATAGGTAAGAAAAAATTACAAGAGTGAATCCTTATTACTTGACGGTATTAAAAAAGAAGCCATACCTCACTTATCTACAGATACCATTCATCTGCCATCAATGCCATTAATGTTTATGACATACAGGGCGGCACTGTTTATTAAATATTTTTTAACTAGTCAACTAATGTATATGTAAAACATTTAAAAGATTCACGTGATCGTTCTGTCTCTAACACCGTAATTAGCTACTATATTTTATGTCCATTTTCAGAATAACTGTTTAAGAAGGCTTGATTTCCAGTTTGTCATTTCAGATTACTAGAATGTAGTCAAACAAGCGCAATCTCCAGTGCGGTGTTTGTACAGCTACATAACCAGTGAATAATTACATTTAAAATGTTAATAATTTTAATAATCTCTCATTTATGATCTGAAGAGAACATTATCGTCTCAATGTCTTTTTTTATTTAACGTGATCTCTCTCATTTTGATGTATTTCATACACATTTTTTTCCTCCTTTCAAGAGTTTGAGATTAGTCTACAACTGAAGTCTACGTTATATTCAATGGCTGAGAAGTTTCAGTCACACGTACAATTTTTGTATATGGACGTTTTTGCGATAGATAGGTCTTGCAAAGGAGAGCGTATGATTTTATCACAAGAATGTCACAGTAACTTTGTTCCAGTATTGGTCAGATATAATAATAATAATAATAATAATAATAA